TACCACGATGCATTCCTATAGGACTGTTATGATATGCATATAGCAGATGGCGCTGAATGCTGGTATCCGATGGAACAAAAATGCGTAAATGATCAGGTTGAGCCATAAATTCATCTGAATAATAAAGAAGACCATCAATAACTTTAGCACGGTTAGCTACGGTCATCACCCAACGTTTAGTCTGTTTATCAAGGCTGCTGATACAATCAGGAGAACTGTTATGGACAAGAAAGAGTATAAGGGGTCCTAAGTATTTATCCTGTCGTTGTAGTTTAGCAAAATCAATCCTGTTGAGGTTCAGTGGATTGAGAAATTTTAAGTCATTGGTCCACTCTGTTGTAGATGGCTGAGCAGTAGTGACTGTAAGATACGTATGTGTATTGTTGTTGGGTTTTACGTTTGTGGAAACTTTATGGTGAGATGTAACTTGTGAATCGTTTGTAGAAAGAGCTGCATTGCAGGCCAGTGATAAGCAATTCAGGTTATCGTTGCAGTTTGTCTCTAGATATGGGATGTCAAGAGAAAGTTCTGTAAGAAAAAAATCAACTGTATCTGCTGGAGGAATGAACAACATATCTGCAGCTACCGAGGGTAGGGGTAAAGGAGCACGACTTAAAGTATCTGGAACAACGTTACCTTTACCGGGGCGGTGTTCAATCGTGAAATCGAATTCTGCCAAAGATAAACACCAACGTGCCAACTTCGAATTTTGTGGCGCAATTGAAGAGAGAAATTTCAAGTTAGCATGGTCTGTAATGACTTTGAATTTGCTACCCATTAGATAGGGGCGAAAATGCTCTAAAGCCCATTTGACGGCAAAAAGCTCTTGATGAGCAGTAGGCCATCGAGATTCTGTAGGGGTAAATGATCTAGAGGCATAGCGAACGGGTCTAAGCTTGTCATTTTTGTGCTGAGCGAGCATAGCACCACACCCAAATTTGCTGGCATCGGTATGTACTTCAAAACTTTTGTCGAAATCAGGATGAACAAGCATAATATCAGGAGAGATAAGCGCATTTTTAAGATTTTGGAATTCTGCCTCGTGTGGAGGTGTCCATGAAAAGGAGGCTTTCTTAGACAATAATGTACGCAAATGTTGTGTCTTAGTTGACACGTTAGGAATATATTCCCGGAAATAACCAACCATTCCAAGAAAACGTTTAAGTTGTGACGCATTGCGGGGTGGCGGGAAATTTGAAATTGCCTCTGTCCCTTTTTCAGTAGGGAATCGACCCTCTGTGGTCACTTTGTGGCCTAAAATTTGGAGATCCTTAGAAAAGAACACGCATTTAGAAGGCTTGAACTGTAAGCAAAATTTATCTGCGCGTTCAAAAATCTTTTTATAATGCTCCAGGGCTTCATCATATGAGGCAGACCATGAAATACAATCGTCGATATAAATGATGAGCCACTGGTACAAATAGTCCGAAAACACTGTATTTAAGACGCGTTGGAAAGTTTGTGGCGCTGTTTTGAGGCCAAAGGGCATCTTTATAAATTCCCATAATCCCAAATGCGTGGCAAAAGCTGTTTTGTGTCTGTCCTTTGGGTTTACAGCTAATTGCCAGTATCCATTAGCTAAATCAAGCTTAGCAAAAATGTTTCCTCCACTAATTGCGTCTAAAATATTTGCGACAGACGGTATAGGATAGCCATCGCTAGATGTAACTGCATTAAGCCCGCGGTAGTCGACAACAAAGCGAAGAGGCTGTGGCTTACCCTTTTCTAGGGGCTTACGGACAAGTATACAAGGTGCCCCCCACGCAGAGTTGCTTGGACGAACAATGTTTAACTTAAGCATACGTGCAATTTCAGCCTTAATAGCGGAAAGTTCTGCGGGGCTTTTGCGATAAGGAAGGCGATAGACAGGAGGAGAATCCCCCGTAGGAATATGATGATAAACGCCCTTAATGGTAGACAGAGGTGAGTCAGGCAAATGAAAAACATGTTGGAAGTCATGCAACAAGGACTTGAATTGCGTTAAAATGCTACGCGGCACATGTGCATACGATGGCGCGTCAAGTTCTAAGGCATGTAAAAGTTTGCCAAAATATTCCTCAGAATGCGGCTGGATATTGCTTTTTCCTATTGGAGAAAATGAATTAGCCTGATGACGCTCGGTACATTCTAAATACGGCGACAGAAAAGACGAATCAAAGGCTAGATTATCCTGTGCCATTTCCTGCAAGTTAGAGGTGTGAATAGCATGACCGCCATTAACGATCTTATCAGGATCTAAGGTCGGGAGGTCATCGATATTACGGCGGGCGGCATGGGTTGCAGAAACTAATGAATACCATTGGTTTGCTACCTGAGAAGCAGTAAAGTCTGCGGCATCTTCTAACACATTAGTATCAGTGCTCAATACAGGCCTAATGTTTCCGATCGAGACATTTAATGGCAAAATCGCAGACTCTTTAGTAGAGTGAATAACAACCGTTGTTGAGTACAAAGATTCACTACTCAGTGTACTATCCACTAAAGTTTCTGAAACGGGCGATATTGACGTCAGTAAACAAGTTGTCTGCGAACCAACATCAGAGCAAACTGGGCGACTAGGCCGACATTCTGGGTAGCTGGAAGCCAAAAAAGGGGACATGACAGAAGTGCACAAATTTGTCATGCTCGGTAACCCAGAAAGGGAAATAGGACCACTAAGGGTAGTGACCCCCGGTAATATTTTATTACCTTCCAGCCAAAGGTCACCCGAAACCGAAAATAGGGAGGAACCCACCAGCGATGTTGCAAGCAACATGCAAACAGTAACAAAATTAAAGCCCCTGTGGAGGCGAACAGGTTCACCTGGCTGTGTTGGTAGGGCAGTCAACAAACATGTAACATTAGCAGTAGAAGTAAAACTACTTGTAGGAAAATGCAAATGTGGAAATGCATGAATAGGATTAGAATCGTGACACTTGACTTCGAATTCTAACCCTTTATCGGCAAAGTATATAGTTAGAGCACGAGAATTAATACGGGCATCGGTCTTGCGTAAATGATTTTGGCCAAAAAGTACCGGCCAAGATAAATTTGGCACGACAAGCATAGAAAAAGTTGCAGAACGCCCATTTTCAAATTGCAAGGGAACTTGCATTATACCTACGGCTTTAAGAGAGGCCGAGGGACTGGCAACAGAGACTTTAACGGGCTGCTCTAAGCGCGAAAACTTGAGGTCAGGGCGTGTTTCAAGAACTTTATCGGCGTGCGCTTTGCTAACTAATAACACTGAGCAGCAAGTGTCGAGAGGCAAAGGGAGAGAAACCCCAGCTGACGAAACAGAACACCATAAAATATTACGGTTCGCAAGATCTAAATTAGAAATTGTGACACTATCTGGAGCTAAACTTATGGCAGGCATGCTATAAACATTGTCTTGCGAACCCCCTTTGGGAGGGACGGCCTCATCGTTGGGCGGTGCAACATGTTCTTTACTCGTGAGCAATAATGAGTGGATAGATTTCAATAAAGAAGTCGTATCAGAATCGACAGACGGTTCCACCTTAGCAATATGCGTATGGAGTGAGTTAGGTTCAACTGAATTATAATGCGAAATAGCCTTGGTCCTATTATGACGAACAGCTTTACAATTAAAGCGACCACATTTGGTGCACTTATGAATATAACCTTTCTTACATCTACCATTAGAAAGTTCACAAAAGGCACGGGGATATTTATTATATTGAAAGCAAAGTGCACCTGAAGGTTTTGGTGTTGCTTCTTGACTGTGTGCAGGTGCTTTTCTTGGGTAGGCAGGAACAGGCGTAACGGGTAAAGCATTGGCTGTAGAAATAGGCTCGTCAACTGCGATTGAAGTAGTTTTGGTCTCGTATCGTTTGGCAGCTTCAATCAGGGCCATTAAAGTCGGATAGTTGAAATCCCTAGCAAAAAGATCCCGCGAAATATCCTCACGTAGTTTGAGGGCAAAGGCATGAATCAACTCGATTTCATTTCCATCGGCTGTCATGTGAATACCTGGAATTAGTTTCTCCAAGGAATGTTGGGTCTCACAAAACCGGTGTGCGAAGTTGGAGACGCTTTCGTGGTGTTGTTGGCGCATGGTATAATACGTGGCCAAGAGATTGCGAATTTGCTGGTCTTTTGGAATTCCACGTTGGGAGTGAAGAACCATTAGTGCAGCATTGTAAAACTGGTAATAGTCATCAGAGGTCGGAGATGCAGGCAATCGGACGAGATGGGTGCTCTCATAATTGCAAAGAATATCGAAGGCACGGCTATCCTTTCGGCACTGTTGCTTGAGGTACGTTAGATAAAACTGCGGATTTGCACCAGAAGATCGGAGAACCTGGTTGAACTGGTCCAGAAAACGGTCAAGATCTTCAATTCCTGTATATTCAGGCAGTGTAAGGTTCGGCAGGCGAAGAGCAGCATGACCAGGAGAAGTTTGCGACTGAAGATTTATAAGGTCGGATAAATCTTTTACGGCAGAGGCAAGTGATTTCAATTCTTCGATTCTTGACTTATTGGATGCATTTTGTTCTTTAGCAACAGCGGCCAAACCATTGATAAGTCCGAGAGTTTCTTCTTGCGACATACGGGACGGCGATCGTGACAAAACGGGTCATCCACCAGATGTGAGAGGTGCTTCTATTTATATTATTGAGATGGTAGAGCAAGGAAACACACTCTTTACATTTTCATATCTTGATAATCATTCAAGATTTATAACTTAACTGAACGAGGATACGAAGATAACTGAACTACGCTTTACAAAGCTTCGGATTAAATAGTACTTGTCACGTGATTATAAAAGGTCATGTGATCTGGGGAGCGTCCTACTACAGAGGGAGGGGGGGGGGGGGCATTTGACAAGGAGTTATATTATCGGTGCACAGGTGGTTTAAAATTCAAAAGAAGACTTCGTTCGAAATATCTGACTAGTTTAATATCTAAAATAAACTAATTTTGCTGAAGCATTACAAATCCTATTACTTACAAATATTATCATTATTCAGAGAAATGACGCAAGTAAAACACCATGATATATACTGAAATTTTTAGAAACAATCTCTTAGTAATCAACTCAACTTTAAATCTACCATATTTAGTTTTGATAAGAAGTCTTGTTCAGTTTCTGCAAGTGGTGATCTGGAAACAGGGTTATCTACCAAACAAAGCTGCTTAAGAGACGGTGCATCTCTCAATTTTTGCAATTCTTCCAGTTTTGCTATTTCTGAAAAACGTCAAGGAAAATGCTCTACTTCGATGCTCAAAAGAGAACAATCCTATAATTGTAAAAGTAATAATATAAAAGACAGTGATAAGTGTAATTTTTGAATGATAAGGGACACTGTCATAAGTTAACCTTGCCTGGATCATTTTCTGAAAAAAAAGTGATAAGAATAAATCTTGTTGAAGAGCTAGAGAGTCAACTGACAATGCGAGTGCACGAATAAACAATAATAAAGCCTCTTTTAGAGCTGATCCCTTAATGGCTACATTTGCATGTTTGTGTGAATAGCATTCAAACGGGCAGGAAACAAATATTAGCCATTAGGTGTTTGCTACATTCCCTTCCAAAGACAAGCTTTTCTACACAACTTATAGGATACACCAGTTTTGAGCCATGGCTAAAACTCCTTTTTAATGCCTCTTCCTACAAGCCTTGCTTGCTGTTCTCATTTTATGCTCATTCGTCAAACTGTATTTTGAAAAATTTTCTAGTGCATTCATTGCCTATTTTAGAATACCAAACAATGCCAACAAATTTTCAATAAAAATCTAGCTTAAATAGAAAATTAATTAACATTGTTTAAATCTGATTATTATCACTTGATTGATCAGTTTCTTTTGTAGTTTCTTTTGCAGTTTCTTTTATAAATAAAAAGTATCAAAAAGCATACATTTCGATTTGCTTTGTGACACTTTCTTTTTAGTTTGTGATAATTTTATTCGTGGGTCGATATTGATATGGCGATTATAAACAACTCAAATAAGTTTTTGGTACCGCAATATTTAAATATGGCACGAAATAGCAGAAACATAGCATACTAAACTACTTCTCGCCTGACACTCTTCAGAGTGTAAACGTTAGATAATGACCAAAAGTAAGCTAAAAATTTATATCCAGGTGTGGAACTAAAGTAACGTGAGGACTTTTTACTAAGAGTCTAGGAGAGGAAACGAAATCTCTCTGTCCACGCAAGAAGAGGATCCTCTGTTTTCATGTAAAAAGATCCCAAAACCCTTAAATGAAAAGAAGTCTTTCCCTGCCCAATGATTTTGAAATTGTCGTCACTCTACGTTTTGGCACACTCTGGACTTTAGTGAGCATTGTTTACCAATTTACCACATGTTACTTGGGCACTGCGACTTTTGCAAAACGCCGTGGCTGTTCTCTTTTCGGAATCATTTTTGTCTGATGCTTGCAGGAACATGCTGTTTTATTCATTTGACCATATTTTTATTATTATAATAATGCATAAATGTTTTATTATTCAGTCAATTGACTATGATTCAACTAATCACTATCTAGTGCGTCCTACATACCGAACTTCAAATCGAAACGAAAATTCATAAACAACTAAACTTTCTTATTGGTAGGAACACCGCCCTTTTGAATGGAGCAGCATGACCCATTGATTTTAAATTATCATGGTAATCCATGTATCAAACTCTGTTTTGATAATGAGAACTATAATCAACAAGTGATCTGAAATTTAAATGCAGCACTAAAAACTAAATAAAATTTCTCACTTTATACTTTGACTAACAGCAAAGGAGCAAATTTGAAAAAGATACTGTTTCCTTTGAGAGACAGGTCTCTCAGGTGAGGTACCAAGGAAAATCCGTCCAAGCAATCAACTTCGTTTGCATCTAGGTTTATTTGCGTCAAATTTTGAAGCATGTGAACATTGTGTAATGACGTCATCTTGTTTGATGAAAGATTGATGGTGTTTACAGATGTTAGATATTCCAAATGGTATAATGCAGTCAATTCCTGGTGCAAAAAGGAAACAAGAAATATCAAAATCGAGTAGAATTTTACAATCCTCAAGTGGGTGGAAAAGTAAAAAGATCTCCTGTCTTAAAAGAACAATAAATAGCAATAAGCAGAAAATTGCAATAAATAAGCAATAAAAAAGGGGCAAATTCATTTTACAACAAATTACAAACTACAACAATTAAACTCACAGAAAACTACAATTTCAAAAAGCTAGTGAATTGCTTACCTTTTCTTCAAGATTCAGTGTTTGAAAATCATCCTTCGACAAAAACATGCATTGATGAGAGAAGTCATTGACAATTACAGAAAAGTCGCATGGAAAATTAAACAACAAATACATTTGTTTCATCAGTTTGGCGAAGGAAAACCGGGGAAATTGAAGCTCAATGAGCAAAGGAAAATAAATATTCATTGCAAAGAAATGTGCATTTCAAGTCAACTTTTTTCACAATGATTTAAAAACCAAAAGCTTCAATGCTTCAGAAAACAGCATAACAGCGTATGGAAAGAATTAGAAAACCATATACCGAATGACCCTTACAGGATGCTACATACATACATTCTTTACAATCTTTAACTAATCAAATCTTTTAGATTAAAACCACCTAAAAGGTAAATTTTTAGAATTGCCTACAAAAAGAGGATCTACTAGTATATGTAGTTAACGTCCTTACAATTTACGGCACTGCTTTCGTTTTCATAGGAAATAGTTTCTAAAAGATACTATTTCCGATAGCTACGATACGATAGAAACTATATTAAAAGAAACTATAAAAGCAACTGTAGAAATAGCTTTTGAATGAATCATTATTCCCAACATCTCGTGACATACACCAAATAAAAACATCTGGTGACATACACCACACATTACCAATTTTTCATACGAGCAATTACAATTTAAGTATGTGTATACTGAAAATAGAAAATTAACGAAAAATGAATTCCACACAATCAGAGGCAGAGAGAAATATTGAGCAGCAAGCCATCTTCAATTAACTGAAGAAACTTAAACAATAACTTCTGAATGCAATTGACTTTACTTTGCATTGGGTCAATATTCCCGGAAATTTACTTACCTTTGCTCTCTTCATCCTCCGTATTTCATCTTCGATTTGATATTTGCTTCCTTAATGATAATGATAAAAAACATGACAGGGAAATATAAAGTTCTGGACGGACGATACTGGCTTAAGTATATGAATATTTTACTTTTACAGATCATTCTGCAAGGATAAGGGAGCGTGAAGTTAAAGAAAACTGCAAATTAGAAACATTTGGGAAACTAAAAGCTATGACAGAATAAAGGAGTTAGGAACAGTGATAAGAGAAACAAGATTGGCAACGAGAAAATACAATTATAGCTCCCTTATCAAATAAAAGCCATACTTAGGATTTTTGAGGGGCACAACTCTTCCTAGTTTGATAGCATACCTTAATAGCTTTGCAGCTTTCTTCGTTTTTTGGGTTATTCCATGCCAAATGGACCAATTTTTGAAGTAGTCCCACATGCACAACCTCAGATTTGTGTAATTGTTTATATATGTACGATAGGAGCATCCTGAAAATTTCAGCTTGATATCTTATACCATCCCAAAGATATGGTTCTTCAAAGTCTCCCACTTTGGCTCTGATGAGGAATTCTGGGAGATGGAAACAAACTTTTTGCAAACTTTGAGGTCCTATATTTCCTTACCAGATTTTGTTAGCCTCTTCAAAATTGATACCCTGGAGCTTTTTTTAGAGCACTATCAGACAAAATTTACAAAGCTAATCATTTTTCAATACCTTATGGATGGTATAGAATATCACGCTGAAATTTTCAATGATGCTCCTATCTTACACATATGAACATTGACATAAATTTTCATGCAAATCTGAGGTGGTGCATGTGGGACCCCTAGTCCACTTGGCATGGAATGACCCTTTTACAATGCTAGGTTCTAACACGAACTCGCTACATCGAACCATAGAAACATCAAAGTGAGTCAGCATTCAAAAAGAGGCTATGCCATCATTGCTGCCATCAGAGGAAATCAAATTATTAAATGAGGTGAAAGTCACATACGCAAGTCTCGATAGTATTCTCTTCTCATGCCATCACAGTCTACAAGTCTTTTTAGGAGCGATTCAGTTTCATCGCTATACTTTTCTGGGTTCAGTGCCCTCATCAAAAATACAACAGTTAACATAACCCCTAAAATATAATAGGTCAAAGCATTATTCACGAAATTTGAGATATATAACTGAGATATTTCAGCGTTTTGAAAATAATTTGAAATACGGCCACAACCAATATATCTATTCAATATTCAGTGTTTCCTTTTAAAAGGATATGTTGTGATGAGATCTCAAAATTTCATCAGCACGATGCTTCAAGAGACCAGCCCTAACTTATAAATATCAAGATGAGCTATTATAATGAAGTTATTGCCAAACGTTTCATTGCCATTCTCAGTTGTAACAAAATGTCATTCAACGCTACAGAAAGTATAAATCATTATAAAATCTGTTTCTTGTTATCAATTTCAATTACAATACCAATAATTGCAATACCAATATTACAGCGGTGGCAACAAGCAACGTACATTTATTCTCAGATTCTTCTTCGAGGAGCATTTTGCAAGATTCAAGCTCATTATTCAACACGTCAGCTTTGGCAGCAGTATGGTTATCCCTGGAATGTAATCTTCCGCTTTAGGATAACAATAATATAAAAAAAATTATTACACAGTTTAGATTCATGCCTCAAGAGAAAAACTGAGTAAACTGTCATTATCCTAAAGACATATCATTACATCGTCGTTCCTCATTCAATCATTAATTGATCATCTTAAGTTCTTACATCAATCCAGTTCCGAAATTTCTAAAAGGAAGCAGCCACCTATTTATTTCATTCATGGCATCATTGTTTATGTGGTCATCCCCTTCCAGGTACAAACCTACGAAAGGGGATGTGTGAGCGGAATATTTCACCATTTTGGGATGCCTTGTCAATCCTTTATTTACGCCAGGTAATAGAAGCATTGAAAAACGTTTTCGTTGTCTGGCTCTTTACTCTCTATTTCAAAGGAAAATGCATTCATCATACCAAAAAAGTAAGAACAGTAGCTAAAATCTTCAGCATTGTGACGTCAAAGCATATCTGTTTGTCTTAAAGATCCTTTCATGGAATCTGTCTTGCATGAATAGACAGAACATGACGAAATAGACTTTGGTTTCATTATGAGGGCAGCAGCTCAAGCTAGAGATCTCGAACAAGTCTCCTTCGAGTTGTAGCCTCCGAAAAAATACTCTGACATTATGAATCAGTGATACAATATTACCTAAACATAAGATGTGATTCTTCAAGGTGCCAACTCCACGAAGCTTCATTTTCACCTGCAATAAAAAAAAATTTCACAGCACTCCATTATTATAAACATATTGCGATTTTATAAACAGATGCACTATTAAGATCGGCAAAAGAATATCAGCAACCTTTCTTACAATTTTTTGTACTATAAAAAGGGGCTCTTCTAGACACAGAGAGATTGGAGATTTGAAGAAAGTATGGAAAAGCGTAAACTCATAAGGGAATTAACGTCTGATATTAAAAAAGGCAAGGAGAAATTTATATTCAGGTGCGGATTGCTGAAAAATAATAATATAAGAGAAGATAAAAAAAATAATGATAGGTCTCATTGGTTCTTTCCTATTGACCAATAGTTGAAGAGTCCGAGACTCCTAACAAACTCTTTCTGTCTACACAAGTCTCTGTCTAGAGCTTCAAAACATCTAAATGAAAGGACAGCCTTGCTTGCCAAGTCATTGCTTTCAACATTACTCCGTACAAAATTCTAAACATCTACTTATCACTACGTTTATACTGGGTAAGTGTCGGACGAAAGGTACTAAAATATGTTTTATCTTTCTTCTCCTTTCTCTGTACTAACTTAATGCGCTTGCTTTCGCACTTTATTCGATATGTTTACAGATTAAAATAAAGAAACATACGAAAGACATACCTTGCTTAAGAGTGCATTCTTTTTTCATGCCATTACCTATTTCCACTATAACCCTGCTTTCAGAATCCTCCAAATTTTTTTTAATGTTGGCTATTTGTGACAGTTAAGGCAAAAAACATCGAAGTGCATTATCAAAAAACTTTATATTCTAAATGCCTTGAAAAATTGTACTGGTCTTCACCATTAAAATCTACAAGTTTTGAACGTTTTGAACTATAGAAATTGTTCTTTTATACTGGAAACCTCAATATTCATAAAACTTAATAACGATTTGCTACTTTTTCACTCCTTTAGTAAGACCTGAGTTTTTCAAATAAGTACTAGAAACTCAAGGTAAAGAAAATATGATCAATCTAAGTACATGTCCAAACAAAGACACATCTCATACAACTGCATTGGAGAATGAAATTTTTGTTGCTGAAAAGGATATCCAAACATGCGAAGGGCTTTGCTTCTGGGAACTTGATGACCATGTTAGATTATCGAACTTCTCGTCATTAATGAAGATATCAATGGTTGCTTGTGAGTTGAGCTGAAAATAATGTGATTGCTTAAAAAGAAGACTTTATCAATGGCATATTTCTACAAAAATTCTAAGTCTTTGGGGGACTTTCAAAATTGACTGGCACAGAGTTCAATCCTTCACCTTTCTATGAAGTTCAAGGATAAAGTTAAGTAATCACTTTTATTAAAGATTCATTGCTAACAATGAGCCATTGCGCTCCGCAAGTATCCCATAATGCATTTTTAGACAGTCTGAAATCAATTTTGGTTAATCCGTAAAAGTTTACTGCCATTGTTTGGATCGTCGCCACGCTCGCAAAGGCCCATTGTTAGCAATGAGTCTTTAAATAACGAGTAGATATAAAATAATGATAAGAACATCTTTGGCCTGATGGTATTCATTAACAATTGCATTTTCAGATGCAGAAAAACATATCCATTTTACTACTGCATGAAAAGAAAAATGTTGCCTGTTCAAAACAACATCGATAAAAATACATAAAAATAAATTTTAGCACGTACTTGGACTTTTTTGGAAAGACTAACAACCAGCCTCAAACCGTCGCTTGTTGTTTTAATTCCTATGTACAAAATATCTAGCTTTTGTTCCTCTGCAAAAGAAAGGTCTTATAAAGATCAACACGACAGATAAATCCTATCTTGTATGACAAGAGTAAATATTTTAATAGGATGGTGAAATTGGTGAAATTGTTGAAGAGCTGACTTCTGTTTGAGCAAAGACAATCAGTGACAAAGTGTTCACTTTCAATAGATAGCAGTTTTAAACTGATTAACCGATATGGACAAAAACTAAGGCGTTATGAATTAAAAAAATGAAATACTGAATGTAAATGTGGATTATAAATTAAAAAGCGAAATACTGAATGTAAATATAAAGAATTAGCCAGATGTTATTACTATTGATTATTGGTACTTTCTTTATGCTAAAATATTCCAATATCTTAAACTTTTTGAAAACTTTATGTTGAGAACAAGATAGATGACAATTTAAAAATCCTGCCTTGACATACCTCTTCCAAGGAGCCATCTTTGATAAAACCAAGCACTTTGGTCGTTTGGGTCAGTGAAGAAAGCATTTTGGACAAGTCCAAATTCTAAATAAGGTAATTTTAATTTGGACGTTTTCAATACTAATCAATTGCTTATGAAAAAGGGACATTAAATAATTGTCATAAAGTATATTTTAATATCAGCTTGTCTGTACAAACTGTTAAAAAAATTGGATTAAAGACACACTTGCATCGCTCTGAAAATCTAGAAAACTGCAATGATCCAAGCAATTTTTTAGTCTCAGCATAAGTGATCTATGATAAAAATTATTTTACTGGAGGCATTTATTATGCAAACAATCACAGACTAATTTGAATTAGATTGAATCAGTTAGTAGAAACAGAGGTAATAATTTTTAAATACATATGACAGGTGCAAACCTATCAATTAGAAGCAATCACATGGAAAATACATGCCAGGATGCATTTCAAAGCACTGAAAAGACAATTAAAAAGTGCAGAAAACCTTTCCTTGGAGTTGTTTCCTATATCAATGTAAACTGATCATAGGTCAGAGAAATGACTTCTATATGATAACATCACAACTGAACATGTGACTAAGCAAACATAAAATTACAAGTAAACACAAATCATTACAAAAACAATTCTTAACATACCCCTCAACAAAGCAGTCTCTTCAACTTTTCCCTTACATTGTGGATCAGGGTGAACAAGTGGCAGCAACTTTGCTCTGTTGTGCCAAGCAGAATAATTTGAAAAATTTTCAGAAATCTTTTTGGTAGTAAAATCAAATTCTTCTTTGCTTGATACATTAGCATTTTTGACAACAAAGCGACGGTAATCCCAGCAGTGAACTTGAAATGAAACAAAAAGTTGATAACATTAGTCAAGAAATTATGAAAAAATCATGTTTAACAGGTTAATACAGTAAAATGTTATTATTAACAGGTGTCTTCTTATAGCAAACACATCAACAAAGAAAAAATTTCAAAAATGGAAGGAGCCCTTATTGAGGCAAGGAACTTGTGAAAAGACTCAGTATAGATAGCAATAATGGTTCAGAAAGCTAAAACAGTTACTCTGAAATGCAAGTAAGCAGTGGTTTCCAAGAGAGACAAAACTGAAAGCACTAAATTAAGAGTTCCACGTTTGAAAAGCTAAGGAAAAACCAAACTGAAGAAGCTGAACAGCAACTTAAATTTGCATTTGCATAGTATTTGATCTAAGCTTTTCCTATTTGCCAAATCAAGCAAAAAATGATCTGCCAGAAGTGTTCTTAAACTGGACATCTGTTTAATGTATATAGGAAATCTTAGGCTAGACAGTGTCAAGAAAAAATACCTATATGATCTACACAACACCCCAAGCAATCTTTCTCTGACATATCACTTTGCTTTTTCTCAAAAACCTATGATTTTGTGTTTCCAGGTGTACAAAAATTGGCCACTTACAGTTTCTAGAATCCATTGACAAAAACTTATTGCATAACATCAAGTCTCTCTTCCAGTCTGGACTAGGCATATTTTGTAGTGCAAACCTTCTGTGTTCCCAAACACCATATGATTTTGGATTAACATGCAAGCAGCTTTGCAAGAATTTAAGTTCATGAAGAAATAATTCATTCATTTCATCATCAGACCTGACAAGAAAAAAACAAGATATATGCAAACACAATAACAACTAGTCTTTAAACAAATCCCCTTCCTTTGTTTATAAGCTATCATTTAAAACTACTCATCAGCATTTTCTTGTGCATCTTAAGTTCTTTGTGTTGGTTGCAAAATGTTTTCATTTAAATCATGAGGAAAACCTGGATGGCCTATGTAGCAGATGGAGAATTTATGATCTTATTAACAGCTTCTGACAGGGATCATACTCCAAACCCTCAAAATTTTCTTGATAAAAGTTTATAAACATCATTTAAAAAAAGATACAGTATTAATGTGTTAATCATAGGAAAAGTTGCTCTGATTCATCTTACCAACAACTAACTTTTGGATGGGAAGAATCAAGCGTTCTATGGTATCTAAATTATTTGTCCCTATTATCCAGTTAAGTTCAACTAAATTCAGTCTGTACAGCAGAGCTGTTACCAAAATGTTGCACAACAAACCTCTGCTGCTTAATTTTTAGAAATATTTCTTTCCTTATGTTCCACATGGTAGAGAAGTCTGGATTTGAACCAAGGAGTTTTTCTGTAAGCTTCAAAAGTTCATCATCAAGCTCTTCATTTTTTCTCTATTAAGGAAAAAATACCCTGACATGTTGGCATTGTTAAATGTTTGAATTTGACTGAAAAAAATAATAGATGATAAATTAATTCCAAAATTCGAAACTTCAAAACAATGAATGTCATGTTATGCAAATAAACAAGTTTGTTTTTCTCTCAAGGTAAATGTTGAGAAGTTTCCATCTGATATTTTATCCAAAAACATATCTACTAATTCTCATTCCATCTTTTTTTTATGCCAAATCAAAAAGTCAGTTTATAAAAAAACTATGCCATTTGGATAGTTATGGATAAGTAATTCCACCTTATTAAAAATTTCCTCAGTTAGAGTCTTAAATTTTTCAGCTTTCTCTGCTCTTTCCTTTTTTCTCTCTGCTTCCTGTTCAGCTGTCGTCTTTACTTTCAATACACCATGCTGAAATCCAAAAAAGGTATTATAGTATCTCCTTGTTATTAAACTTCTTGCTAGCTATCCTGCATTGTTTGAGATACAATACTTTACTAGAACAAAATTTTACTGGCTTACATTTGATTTGCAATCACAGGTATCATTAGTCAAGACTGCAAAGTACTTTTCTGTACAGGGAATCATTTTCTGCCTCTTGTGCTTGCATTGAACAAACCAAGTTACAAAATAGCAGGTTAAAGCTTAGGATTTTTTAAATAGCATTTATAAGCATTTGTTGAGGATGTGTGCGTGATTCGCATAAAGATCTGTGATGCAACTGCATGGATTAATCTGACTTTGATGAAAATGCTGTGATGGAATTTGAGGGAAAAATTATTGCATGGGGAATGCTTCCCCAAGCATACCCAAACATTGCAGTTTGGTCATCAGTGGATGTGCATGCTTTAAAAATATAACATCCTTTAATGTATAATGTGGAATGTGGAATGACCTTCCTGCCAAAACTTAACAAGCATCTTCCCTAAATGTGTTCAAAAAATATATTTAGTCAATTATTTAGTCAAATTTTATTATTATCAATTATTTATTATTTAGACAAATATATTTCTTTTCTTTCAGTGTGCTTTTATACTCTGAATCTAATAAGTTTTTTGCATTTTTTGCATTCTCAATATATTGTTTAATTTCTTATCTTCAATATTGTACTTAATTTCTTTACTTTAATGTTTTCGATTTTAATTAAAGTTTTAAGCGGAGGAATTAAAATGAGATTGTAGCAATTTGGTAATGCAAGCGCGAAGATTTTATGTGAAGCTGCCTAACTGGCTAACTATTATTCCTACATATGAGGACCTTGGCTTCTTTGCAAATTGGAAACTATTCCCCTTCAGCTGAAGCATTTTTGCAATTACAAAACATGCCTGAAGGACTGGAAAACCCCCAGCAGCTTCTTCTGCAAAAAGTGTCCCAGCTTCCTAAAGGCTTTTAAATGTGGCTCAGAAAAAAAAGGCCAGAGTGAATAAATACCATGCTGCTTAGCTTTAAGTACCACTTGATGATTTTGATTACAATTCTTTTTCCATCAATCTACTTCCCGTTATTGACAGGCTACATCGAACCTAAAACAGCAACCATTATAGTTAAGCCTCGTGATGAGTTGGAAACGTAATACTTGCAGCAAGAACAACAAATTCTTTCTGAATTCTTTTTACGATTGTTGTTAAGAACAAGTAAATGGTCAGTTATAAAAGGAATCGTTGATGAGTTACTAACAGGCACAAGGGATTTATGTGGGTGAATTTATGTAAATTTACATTACTGTGCTGATGAAAAAGCAGTGTGTATTGTTTATGTATATTTACAGCCTTTACTGATTTAGGGTATACATGTCAATTTTTTTCGTCGTTTCGAACGAGGGAATCGAACCCATATACAGTAAATAAACAGAGTAAACAATACACGTAGCAAATATGAAACACCGCAATACGCCGATAATAAACTTTATTGACATTGTATACCCTAAGGGTTCTATTTTTAATTTTATGAACGTTGTTAATTCCTAAAGTTTTGTGTTTACTGGAATGGAAACTACGGAATAGAATAGAAAGCGATAATACAATGCATACGAATGTTAACAATGTGGAAAATTGTAGGAATACCGAAAGGCCTGTTTTCTTCTTAGTATATCATGGATATAGTATGAATCCATTTTATCCAACAGTCTCACTAGAGTTTGAAATTTTTGAACGTGAGCAAGCTTCATACCAAGATACAAATGCGTAGCAAAAGAATTGTTTAGTTGAGCATGTTTCAAATAAAGCATTTTTCTTTGGTTTTTCACATTGGCCATTAACTTTCTTTTTAACTGCTAAATTTGTGTCTTAAATTTGTGCCCATGTATATAGATTCAAGCAGAGGTGGCGCCAGAAATCTTCTGTCAGAGGGGCTGGAGCTTCCGACAGGGGGGCTAAAATGACTAAAATAAGCAGTTTTTGTACATTATTTTGTCAGATTTGCTCCAACAATAACCTAAAATTTTCTCCGATGGGGGGGCTACATGCTTCCAACGGAGGGGCTGTAGCCCCCCTAGCCCTCCCCTGGCGCCACCACTGGATTCAAGAACATCTAAATGTAAAACAATGTTCTTTCAAATTATATAAAAACTGTATTATAATCTGTGTTCACTGTTGCAGAACAAGGCAGTCAATGCTGAAAGAAAAAGATGGAGAAAAAAGACACACTGTTTAACAAGGTTTCAAGAAGTGTGCAAAGCATAGAGAATGGCCACTTAATACCCGAGTTTTCATCATTAAACATAATTAGCCTTGTTTC